TGCGTAGTACTTCAACTTGATCGCTGTTTCTCGAGGCAGAGATGGAGCCCACTTCACACAAACACCACCTGGAAGATCTGTTATATCGATGGCATCTGATGCAGTCAGCCAGGGAAAGTTCATCAGTGGTCCAGAGTGATTCCAAAGTCCGTTACCAGTCTTGAAGGCATCGCCCCGCAGCTGATAGTTGGCAAAGAGCTTGTCCTGGTAGTTGTGGATCATCACAAACATGGGATCAACACCCACACCTATATTCGCCCAGCTACCGCCAATACCAGTATGGGCTGTTAGGTCTAGCGCTTGAAATATGCCAAGGTCGGTGAGCGTGGCGAGATGGGCTGGTGGCGTTAGCACCAATTGCACTGTTTCCCAACTAAATGGCGGCTGATCATCATTGAAGTGCCGACGGAGACATTCGGGATAGGAAAAAGTACGGTTCTTGTAGTGGAACTTGGGTACCTTGAAATTTGTCTCCGAGAACATTCCATCTTGCACACAGTAACTAGGAGGTACGCCGTTGGATCCGAATATCTCCTGGTCTTGGCTGAAAGGTGATTGCTGTGCCCATGAAGGTGTCCATTGACTGGGAATATCCCAGTAAGGCATTGTGATGTCGCAGTCGATCAGACGAAGTAGATTTTCAAAAGCCAGCACCATCGTTCGATGATATGACAACAGCTGTGGTTTGACATCTGGGAAATGTGCATACTTGTCGCATGTTATGGATGCATGGGACCACATCAGATCTGTCATCACCGGCTGAAACCGCTCGTCGTGTGTTGCCTTGCGGAATGCATTGGCGAAGCGCATCTTCTCCGCTTCCGTTAGAGTGCTGTAGCTTTTCCGAAGCCTGCAGCATTTCCACTCGCCAGCTATACACTCACACTCCAGTCCACACTGAGCTGTAAATGGCAATGCAGATGATGTATCGCATTGGGAGACGGACCGTTTGCCATGATCACCGCTGCCAATCCCCTCATCAACTCTAAGACTGAGTAACTCCTCCAAGCTATCAGGAAACTTGAGTGGCTTAGATATTGCCGCATGTGCATGGCTTAGAATTGATATTTCGAAGACAACAGCAATGGGAACCGAACCTATTGAAATCCAGGCGAACAGTTGCCACCAATGACGAAGTATATTTGTGCCTGCACCACACATCGCGCTGGTGTGCTGTCTTTCTCATCAGCCTGTTATGTCCTTCAGGTGCAACGATGATCATTTACACTGTTGTAGGGGACGAATGTCACTTTCTAATCATTCTCCTTCAGTCAAAACTGACGAACTTCTCGCAGCACTACATTGCTTAGAGTGTACGCAATGCCTGTCTGCAACGGTCGCCTCCCATCTACTGATCTAGCAAGTAAGTGCGAGCTTTGTCACAGTTTATGTACCTTGTCCTTGGGCTTGGAAAACCAACATCTACTTCTCCCCAGTTGAACATATTTTAGCTAGGCTTCTACTGTGTTCTAGGCTTCTTGGTCCATAATTTGCATAAACGCATGGCGATCCTTTTGCCGCACCCCACTCGTGAGCATTGATTGCTTGCAGCTACTGTACCACCAAAAACACTGCAGTACTGGTACTCGAAGTACATCACATAACTTGTGTAAAGTTTGCAATCAACAGTGCTCACTCCTTTCTATGTACTGTACAGGCGATGAAGAAGTGTTCTTTCCATCTCAAGCATTGAGCATAGCTATCAACGCCTGGACCATGGAGATACTTGAAGAACACTTGCGATCCTTTCAGTGCCCGTGTGGTAAATCAAGAGGGAAACAAAGAGGGCAAGTGAAGTCCAGAACAATCACCGCAGCCCATTAATAGATCTACAAAATACAAACTCTGAAGCCGCGACACCGCGTCCCGTGTTGCACCCCGCGGCGTGTGATGGGTTTGCATGTACATGATACCAAGACTCAAGAGTACAATACTGTAATGTAGATATCTACATGGCGTATGTTCCTATTGCAGCTAGCGCTCACTGACTTGTCAGTTTGAGCACTCTGGCAAGGTACGTTCGGGCCTGGTTTAAATCTGGCCGCAGTTTGGAAATTTTATTTTTCATTGCTACCAGGTTCGGCCTCATTTCCTCTGTGCTGCGCTGACGAGTCCACAAAGGACGACACCGTGAGTTCTGTCCGCAGATTGAGTATGTTCCTATTATCTAACCTACACTGGTTGAAAACCAGTGTTAGATAAATCTTGTTATAACTGTTAGTTCACGCATATTGTTAGATTGACAGCTCCACCTTGTTTCATGCTGTCAATCTAACAATAATTATGTATGTTCCTGCAACTCTTCTCCTTCTGTATATACCGTTGATACTTCCTAGCCACCTGAGTTGGGTGGTGTGTTGCTTTGCTGCTTCGAGTTGTACTTGTAGTTGGACCGCTTTGCCAAGTATCTTGTTGGTCTCCTCGTCTTATTATTAGTAACACTCGACAGCTTGTACTCATTTTCGTAGCGCTCGGATGCTCACTTCCCCCTCTTTGGTCTCCACCATTGCACCAATGGGGCAAACTAACAGCCTTCCAACTTGGAAGGTTCATGGCTAAGGAGAGGCCAAAGAGGGGAAGGTGAGCTCTACGAAAATGAGTACGAGCTAAGTCCCACGGTAACAAGGAATGTCGACTGTTACTGGACAATGACGAGATCAGTAGTAAGACACTTGACAGCGCAGTCTACTAACTGCAATTCGAAGCAGCACACCACCCAACTAAGGGCGCGTTCGAATTGTCACTCTTTGACTTTTCGAGGAGTTTCGTTTTTCTGAAGAGGTGGCCTTATTGGCCTCTTCAGAAAAACGAAGCTCCTCGAAACTCATCCGATGGCGATGGGAAGGTGGATTAGTTTCGAAGAGTTTGGAATAGATACGTCACGTAGTACGTGGAGATGGTCGATCTGATCGGACGTCATCATCGCCATGACAATTCCACTGAAAAACTCTAAAAATGATAGAAACCGTTCTAATGGGACACTTCAACTAATCGCTTTTTAAAATTTGTTTGAACAGCTGATGAAGACAATTCGAACGCGCCCTCACTGTTTCTTGGGTGCGGCAGAATTAGTCGAAGATAACAGTCATTACAATTTACATTTATACGGAATGGGAAGCTTTGCGAAAACGAATTGTACAAAACCGACCAATGGTTTCATGCCCATGGGCAATCATCAGACAACTGCATAATGATTAATCAGACATCCGAAGAGATTGCGTGTCTGGTGACTTGCCCAAGGGCACGAAGCCATGGCATACATGTACATGTAGGTAGCAACCAAGCTTGGTGCTCCGTGATTATTATTATTATGACATGCATATAGGTATGTACTTGTAACATAAAATCATAACATTGTTATGATTATTGTTATGATTAAATCATAAGTTATAAGTTACAAGTACCTACATGTACAAATCCGTTGATCCCCGAGCTGCAGAGAGTGCTCAATGTCAGAGACAGAGCTTAGTACATGAGTTGTCAGATGATTGCCTAGCGGCATGAAACTCAGAGTTACAACCAACCTGAAGTTGAACGTCCTCCGCTGAGTCTGCTATGTACTAAGTACCTACATGTATATGCATGTACCCGTACAATCATGTACAGTGTATCCGCTAGGTAGGTACGCAATACTACTGGTATGCAGGATTTATCACTAGCTCAAAAGACCCTTTATTGGAAAGCCGGAACACAAAGGTGGAATAGCAAAAAGGTGCAAAGCACTGAAATCAATGAAGATACGAAATCCAAAGCAATAATTGGGAAAACGACAATCATAATTTCAAACATGAACCCTGAGCGGCGGCCCTCCAAGTGAAATGGCCTCCTTTACGGGCAAAATTAACCAACAAAGCAGAGACTTTGAGCCAGCAGCTCAGTGCTCCAAATGTATCATGAATAGTACCTGTAACTAGTACAAGCCAGCAGCATGATCGGTTCAAACTGAGCAGTACAAGCCAGCAGCATGATCGGTTCAAACTGAGCAGTGTTGTAGCAACACTCGGTCTGAGGTGTCAAAGTAGTGTTGGGACGACAGAGAGATGGCAAACACCACCCAACATGGAGCAATGAGATTCTTCCAAAGCAGATGAAGGTGACACTTTTGACACACAGATACAAGTACTTCAGTACATACATTGCGTACATTGCGTGTAGTACGGCAAAGGACAAGACGTCAGTGTGGTGGTGTAAATATTTCCACTGGACACATGTGCACACACTATAATTATTGTGTAGGTGCTAGTATGTAGTACATGTACAGGTATGTAACATCGAGGACAATTTATGAGCAACAGCAATTGGAGATCTGTTACTAACCATCGGCCAGGAACTTCACTCACGGATGACTTTGGTGAAAATGGCCCAAGCTCGAAGCAAATGAACTAACTGATCGAGGCACTAAAACAATGGATGACATGCATGGTCAATGAAATAATGTGAAAGCCAAATTCATGCCGGTGATGCATCAACCGAAAAGGAGGGGAAAGCATGATGAATGTGGTGGCCCCCGAGACAGGGGCACTTCCAAGAGTCGATAACTCTCTGAACGATGGCAGTGCTGCACGGAGAACTTCTCTTCTTCTGTGTGTGTCTCTCTCCTCTTCTGTCTGTCTGTCTGTCTGTCTGTCTGTCTGGCTGCATGTCTGTCCGTCTGGCTGCATGTCTGTCCGTCTGGCTGCATGTCTGTCCGTCTGGCTGTCCGTCCGTCCGTCTGTCTGTCTGTCTGTCTGTCTGACCTCTCTCTCTCTCTCTCTCTCTCTCTCTCTCTCTCTCTCTCTCTCTCTCTCTCTCTCTCTCTCTCTCTCTCTCTCTCTCTCTCTCTCTCTCTCTCTCTCTCTCTCTCTCTCTCTCTCTCTCTCTCTCTCTCTCTCTCTCTCTCTCTCTCTCTCTCTCTCTCTCTCTCTCTCTCTCTCTGCCTGTTTCTCTGCCTGTCTCTTTCTCCTCCTCCTCCGCCTCCTCCTCTGTCTGTCTGTCTGTCTGCCACGGTCTGTGTGTCTGTCTCCCTTCATCTGTCTCTCTCAAGCAGTTTTGAGACGGTCTAGGATTTCCGGAAACAATGGCCGACTCTCCGGCTCCTCACTCCAGCAAGCCTCGATGATCCGCTTGAAGTGATAGAAATCTGGGCCCGGTGGAAGGGGTAGTCGTTGCCCGTGCTTGATCCCACTCATCACAGCATCCTCGTCACCGATCTCATCATACGGCTTGATGTGCGTGAGGATTTCCCACAGAACTACTCCATAGCTGTAGTGGACATAGCAGCGGCAGTCGAGAGATTTTGGAAAGGATTTTTAAAAGGAGTTTCTTCTTGAGCACACGATGCTCAAGTCCTGCACAAATGTTTAACACAACTCCATAATACTAATTATACCTCATTCCCGATGATATTCACCCACATACAATTGGCCATCTACATAAGTGGTGAATATTGCTGAATATTCACCGCTTATATTCACCACTTATATTCACCACTTTTCGATACTTACTGTAAAGAGAGCAGTACTCGGTACTGCGCTTGATTCCTCTTCAGTCAGCGCACCGGAGCTGTCCAGTGCCCTAGAATTTTTTTACGCTAGCTTCCGTAAACAGGACTTTTCTGAGTACAAACGAAAATCCTTGCTTGCCATTGCCGCTGGATCCGCATGTGACCAGGTGCTGACAAGTCATCAACCAACAGTGAGCATCTTCACAGACGGAGCGTTCCAGCGAGCAAACAAGGTTTTGGACGCTCAACATGTCAATGGCCCGATGATTGCGGATCAAGCGGCAAGCCAAGAATTTCGTTTGTACTCAGAACAGCCCTGTTCACGGACGTTAGCGTAGAATTTTCCTAGGGCACACAACAGCTCCGAAGCGCTGCCTGAAAGAAAAGAAGTGAGGGTAGAATCGCTTGGCTCGCTGTTTATAAACCGACTCCCGAATTGGCGCGATGGTCGCGGATTGGTCAAATCTTCGCATCGAAACGGGCGATGATTGGCTCCCGTCAAGCACGAGTGTGTTCTCCATGGTGATTGGCGCGAGTGTGTTCTCCAAGGTCGTCACCTCCCATGCCACATGCACCAGTACGTGTACACGATCGATTGAACAAGATTCTGAACACGCCGCTCTCCGATTCATGCAAGAACACGCCAGTCGGTTTACGATACTGAAGCAACAACGACTTACGTTAGTCTGTGTACACGTACATGTATGACCAATGTGACTCGTTTGTTGGGCTTTAGGGACGATAGGGTGAATATGGAGAGGTATAAGTCTAATATTATCTTCAGCCTCGTGAATATGGGCGAATATTCACTGGTAATACAAACCTCGGCTTCGCCTCGCTTTGTATACTACTGAATATTCGCCCATATTCACTTCGGCTTCAGGTAATATTATATACATATAGGTGCTACGGGGTCATGCTGGATCAATAGCATTGTCCGCAGAATTTCAATTTGCTTGCAAGCATACTTTCAGCAAAGTGGGCCTTTTCCGAAGAAAAAACATGCCAAAACTTCGAGTGCATTTTCGACCTCGATCTCACGTGCCGAATCTTTTGCCGAATTTCGGAATGCAAAACCTCTCTAATTACGCCAGAGGTAGCTTAGATAGACAGCTGAGCACTAAACACATCGCTCTGACATGGGAATAGAGGGCATCCATGAGCTTACCTTCACGCTGCTCCGATATTCAATGCAAGAGCAGGGCCATGTTCATGGTGTTGGATTCCGTCCATCATCCTAGTATGATGGGGGCACTACCCCCCCCCCCCCCCCCCCCCCCCCCGATTCCGTCCATCATCACAGTATGATGGGGGCACTACCCCCCCCCCCCCCCCTGATTCCGTCCATCACAGTATGATGGGGGCACTACAGTCCATTCATTGGAAACTGGCACCCTAACTTTTTGGTGTCTCTCTCACATAGTTTTAGATATCGTGAAAACAACAGTACATCCTGCATTCTGTGACCCGTGCAATTACTCCTTGCCACATTTGAGGCCAGAAAAGTCCAAGAACAGGGAAATAGAAATTCAGCCAGGTTTTACAAAATTAGGACAGGTATGCCATGGCAAAATGTATGGAGAAGCAGATCCAAAACCCAGATTTTTGAGATTTAAAGTGGGTTTTTGATCCTCAATTCGGCCCAAATCCGACTTTCAAAAGCCAGCGGGCCAGTTTCCGATGAATGGACTGTAGTTGTGTATCTTGTAAAAAAAGTGTTGCGATAAAAAAAGTAATCATTATCTGCATCTCTCACCTGTATACGTCTGTGCATTGGTTGAAGACACGGGCAGTGAGGGTCTCGGGTGCACACCAGCGGCTGCTACCCATTGCTCGGGTCATGTTGGTCTCGCTATCACGGTGAAGGCCTCCTCCTCCTACAGCACTAACATCAGCAAGAGCAGCAGCAGCAGCAGTAGACGCTGGTGAAACTGTGCCACTTGCCCTACTGTTTGAATACTGCTGCTGCAATATGGACAGTAGCGGCGTTCTCTCACGGTCTGCAGATGCTGACGTTGACAGCGACGGCCTTCTCCTGGGGTTCTGACGGCTGCGGTCGTACACGGTGACATTTGCCATCAGGTTATCTTCCGGGTTACTGCTGTCATAGTCCTTGATGGTCGATAGGAGACGGAGCATTCCAAAGTCCGCTATCTTCACGGTCCACTTCTGTGTAACTAGCAGGTTTGAGCTTTTCAAATCACAATGAATTCGGGGTGTTGCGGAGCCATGAAGAAACTCCATTCCTCTGGCGATATCCACGGCAAAGGCTACCTTCTGCCGATGGCTAATATCTCGTGGGACGTTTTCCCTCAAAACTTTGTAAAGCGATTCCCGTGTCACATATTCCATCACAATGAAGGGTGAGCGCTGTGCTGGCTTTGTACCTGCACCTAGAAACATCACAATGTTGGGGTGGCGCACAGTTCGCATTAGCTCAATTTCTTTGATGAACTGCTCAAGGAAGATCACGTCGTCCATTCTACAGCTGCGTAGCACCTTCACTGCCACCTGCATATCGGACAACTCTGCCTGAAACACATCCCCACTCGACCCTCTGCCAATGGTTCTTATGATCGACTGCGACAGCTCACTCCAGTCTATGATGACACCGTTAGCTAGCTGTTTCAGCTGCCAGCGCGAGACCAGCAGGTCTTTCTCTCTCTGGCGGTGGAGCTTTCGACTTTGGCGCATGGACCGAACAATGAGGATGACAATGAGAGTCAATGTGGCGATGCCGACACTGATCAAGATGGCACTAAGAGGTAGCTGGCAATTGTCGTAGGAGAGATACGCCCAGGTGCAGGCACAGCTAGCTTTGTTCTCCTTAACCGAGCACTCGCCATGACCGTGGCAAAAGCCGCCGTAGCAAGGTTGTAGAGGCACACAATGTGTGGAGCCACTTGATTTCGTCACCAACAGTGGTGGACACCTACTGCAGTTACTGCTGAGGTCGGCCGAGTAGAAGCCCATGGGACATTCCCTGCACGTTCCGTTCATCCAGCCATGGCCAAGAGGACAGTGTGACGCTGCCAGTTTGTACTGGCAGGATTTCGTTGTGATGACAGCACTGTCCGAGCTACTCAGGCTCGGTACAGGCAGTAACACACCGCCAAACACAGTGTCTCCAACGACGGCGTGTCCCAGCATGGGGTACATACTGAAGAACGGTATTACACTAGACGGCTGGTGACCAGCGCTCGTGTTAACATTACTCATGCTTGACATCGGTACGAGGTATGATCTAAGCGACAGACACTGATCATGGAGTGGACCACCTCCAAGCAGAATACATTCACGGGTGCAGCCTCCAAATATCAGAAGCAAATCACTGGAATAGCGTGTCAAGCTGAAGCCGATTATGTTCCGAAGTTGCGGCAGCGGCCGAAACGGGGTCCACTCCACTCGTGTCGCCGCAACTGCGGGAGTTGGTTGTAAGCGTAGAGAAAACAGCACAATCCCATCTGCGGGCATTTTTCCATAGCTACTCACACCACCACCAATGATGATCTGCCCACCGTACACAGTCGAGGTGTGGATCATCCTCGACGGTAGTGGCTTGGTTGATGATAACTCTCGCCACGAGCCAGTGCATGTTGACAGATTGCTGAAAGTGAACACGTACAAATTGTTGACGGCCTCGGGCAGACCTAGCCAATCCCACGCCATTCCGCCGTAGATCAGAAAGCTCTCAGCGGACAGGGCTGCAGCGGCATGACCCACACCAGAGTGCTCCGGCATGGTGTGGCGTGACGTGAGGTTAGCCTGCTGCCAGTACTGCTCGAGCCAATCGAAGCACCAGACATCTCTGTCAACAGGCTCACCTAGCATAGAGATGCCACCATAAACAACCGCTTTTGTTGCATTTCCGTCACCCATGCGCAGAAATGTGTGCAGTATCCGATTGGCGAATGGCGGACCAGGGGAGATGACTCGCATGGCATAGACTCCTGGTCGAGGACTGTAAGACCAGATAGGCATTACCTGCCAAGAAGGCTCCAGCCAGCTATCTTGCTTCCCAGCATACATATGGTGTGGTAGTGCACAGAAGCCACCAATCATCACCGAATAGGACTCACCAAAGTTCACGTCACCCTTCTCGTACGGCCGCGCACTGAACAGAATGGGGCTTGGGAGACCGATACAGCCCACGCTGCCTGGGAAGCTGAACGCCGCTTCTTGCCTGGGTAGAATGCGCCGCACGATAGATGGTTTTCTTGTCATGTAGTCAAACTCCACCGAGAGATTCACCGTCGCTGGAACTGTCGTTTGCACCATGTAAAGCGAGGCCGCGTCATACATGAACCCCAAGCTGCGTATTTGCTTCGAATCGTCGATAAGTCCGCTGACGAAGTTTCTAGTGGTAGTTTGTCGAATCGTCCGCCACTCTGGTGTGTCGGAGCTAGCGGGTTTTATGCGCGAGACGGAAAACTCCCGCTCCAAGCACGACAAAGGAATAGTCCCATAGGAGAAGGCAATACTCACGACGGCCAACTCACCATCTGCCTGAGAGTACGCCACGTTCGGCCTCGCTGGCAGTCGATGCGAAGCAAAGCAGGAATTCGACGCTCTTGCCATGCAATCCTCTGTCAACTCGGGCAGTTCCTTCCAAGTGCGGCTGGCAAAGTCCAATCGCCACAGGTCGCACTTAGCCGCAAGCTGAGTTTTGCCCTTTTGGAGACCCTCCTCTGTCGTGTCCTGTAGTGATATGCCCCCGTAAACGAACAGGCTAGAAGTTCCATCTGTGAATAGAACGGGCGAGATACGAGGAGAGGGCTGTTGGGCGTGCAAGCTGGAATTCACATTCCACGTCTTCCAGTAACCAATCTCGAAGTTGTCACCGACAAGTTGCAGGACGCGAAGGTTGTTGGAGAAATTCATGCACGTCTTACCAAGAATTTCGTCAAGGTTGCAGGCTGAGCCTCCAAACATCACCAGACTCTCCGTAGCCCGGTCATTGCTGACATCATCAGGGACGGCAACCATGGCGGAGAGAAGGACATGACTGCCGGGTTGGCCCGCGTCCATGCTTCGTCCGGGTTCGGATTGTTGATCTAGCACGTCATGCATTGTCGGAGCGCTACCTTCCACTCTGACCACGTGATGCCGCCGTGAACTCGGGTTGTATGCGATGAGCTTTGCGCATTCGTGCTGGGTCCCAAACCCGTAGATGAAAACGACCTCACGGCTGGAGCTGGATGCCACCGCGCCAATAAAGCTCTGAGCAGTTCTACACGACGAAGGTAGGAAGGAAACGTCTATGCGATCGTGAATTCGCCACGTTTGACCACTGTTTTCGCCCACGTCAAAGGCATAAACGGATAGGAAAGTGATGAGCGTTGTATCCTCCGGAGTTCCGAAGAGAAGCATAGCACCGTACGCGTCAGTCCAGGGGGTTTCCCTTATCAGTGCTGGCTCACGTAGGAGCATCGGGTGGCTGAGACTGGAGATGGAGATGGGCTTGTGAAGCTCCAGCGAGGGTGAGTATTCTTTAGCACACCGAAGCTGCAGCAGGGGTGGTAATGCTACTTCACTACTATTGCTGCTATCATTGTCACGTGGTGGTTGACTGGCTTGAGGCGTCAGGTGGCCAGCACCATATGAACGACGTGTAGGTAGACCTGGGTCGCCATTAAACCAGTCAGTGTGTTGCTCAGGGAGATTGCTACCTTCTGCTTTGTGTGTGCGTTTTGGCAGGCTGCCGAACAAAAGGTAACGTAAGCTTTCGGGTACAAGGTTTTTGTCCGCCGCCATGGCCATTGGTGCTGTTCCGGCCCTGGTTCGTCTGTGCGCTGGAGCGTGCGATGCGATTGGCCTGATTGATGCATCACGTGACCGAGCGGTACCAGTAGCAGGATGACTGACTACTGCCAGTACTGGCCCATCAGCATTGGCATTGGGTGGACCAGGTTTCGAGGCCTCCGCAGGGCTGCCAGTGTTTCTACCGTCCTCCTCATCCGTAGAAAATGCGCGGAGATCCAGAGCATTGCCTGTCCATGGTGTGGGACGCTCGTGCACCGGTCGACGTACTGTCAAGGACGCGGTGGAGTCAGTCACGATTTCCACTGCCATGGCAAGGCTCCCAGTCCGAGGTAAGTGGACGCTGAGAATGACGAGACACAGTAGCAATGTGGGGACGAGTGACCTGCCACCACACACTGTAGTAGCTTCAAGCCCAGGATAATCTCCCCAGTTTCTGGGCGCTGGAAATGTCCATCCATCATCACCAGCATTGGACGGTTTTGTCATCCTATCCTATCGACTGACAGAACCTATCCGTTTGAGATCTAACACTAGAGATGCTCACGGGTTAGAGCATCCCGAAGCTTTAGGCTACCTCTGCCTGCGCCTGGGACAATCCCATAAGTTCGTAAATAAACTGAGACAGTGAGAGATAGCCAGTGCATTGCACAACCGCCACTCGTCGAAGTGCATGGCAGAACACTGAGGTAAGAGAGACATCACGGATCTGCTCTTCAACTGCGCCTGCCCGTGGAGACATCTGTACTGCCAAGTCTGAACCGTACTGAGAGACGAGAATTAGCGCTGCACGTGCAAGGTCCGAGAACGAGAACAAGTACAGCTTGCGATAAGTCTGCTTTTCCGATCAATCTTTCCGTTCGCGATTCTCAAAGGACAGCTCGGGACATACAGGGGTTCCGGAAGCACAGAAAACGAAGCATGACGAAGGGAATCCTCTAATCCAACGTCTGTTATATCCGGTGCGTGTACGAAATGCTCCAGCCATCACGTGGTATACTGTATCCTTGTACATGTACAGCATAATCTACGTCAGTACGTGCCACCGCGCCGCAGCTATGACTATGAGCTTCCAGCGAACAGAGTTCGAGTTCGGAATATCCAGTACCAGTCCTGGTTCACCTTGACTACAGTTCAGAGTACCACCGAGACAGTGCTCAATGGGCTGTTGCTCCTGTGTGTGTGTTGGTAACGTTTACCGCATACTGCCTTCAAGTAACTTGAAGGCAGTATGCGGTGAACGTAGTTCAAGGAAGTGCCTGTGGGTACAAATACAAGGCGATTGCCTGAGCTCTGTGCTGTTTACGTGCTACTTTGAAAATGTTGCTATGCAGCAGCTGAGACATCAGTTCCTAAGGGAAACTGCAGGCTTCGCTCCATCTTCTTTAATGCTCATTTTATCTTTAGCAATGATGATCAAATAATCTACGTGGAGATAATAATTTTAATAAAGCTATGAATAGGATGAAGGAGGTCATTTCTCTGTACTGTGTCGTGCGCGTTATGTCCAACAGTTGAAAGTCCTTGAGGCAGTTTGTATACGTATTCATAAGCCTGTTTTGTGTAAGCAGAAAGAGCACGTTGTTGCACTGAAGTTGTATTCGTAGGTTGACACTTCGTTCAGTGCCTTCTCGCCTTTGGTTACGTATTCTTGTTGCCTTTTTGCGTTTCCTCTAGTGGTTTTATTGCACTTGTATCTTGATGTTATTTCTAACACCTTTCTATTTCCAGTACAATTAAGGTCTTTTACGTAATGAAGTGGCTGCAGTGGAGCTTTCAAAGTTTTTGTAACATGGAAAAGTGTGGGCACATCGAGTGCACCGACTAAACCAAATTTTGAACGGTCAGACGTGCACAATCTAGCACAAAACTGGCAAGGAGTACTAAGACATTCCACGGCATGAAAATCAGCGTGAGCACTGCTCGATAGCGCTAACCAAACGGCCTTCCAACATTACTTGGAAGGTTTATGGATATTACTAGTGCTAATGGCAATGCCAAAGAGGGGAAGGTAAGCGCCATCGAGCCGAGCACAAGCTACATTCCAAGGCTTCATGGAATGCTGGCCTGGTATGATGACGGGACGGCAAGACCAGACAGAACGGTCGAACCATAGTTCGACAACGCAAGGCCACAACCACCCAACTTGGGAGGCTCAATATTATCCGAGATGAAAATATGAAGGGGAAGCTTCACTACAAGGACAGATTGTAACAAACCGAACGCCAATATCAGTGCCTACAGCACTGTAATTAGTTGATGACAATGATGGACTAACTAATTGCAATAACATGTACAGTATGTATGTATAGTAAAACACGACGATCGTTTCGCCGCATTGTTCATGACGGCTCTTCAGGTTTGCATTTTTTAAAGAACTCAGATGGTGAGCCAAGGAATAGACATCAATAGGTATTGTATGAAAAGCCAGTCAATAGTACTAAAGAGTGAAGTCAACCACAACACAGACAATACCTTCAGACAATCATGACAGGCATGCCGCATGATACAGATGATACACTAGATAGCGCTAACCAACGGCCTTCCAACTTGGAAGGTTCATGGCTATTACTTATTAGTGCTAATTCCAAACTAAAAAAGGAAGGTAAGCGCCATTGTGCCATTGAGCCGAGCACAAGCTACATGTACATTCCAAGCCTCCCAAGTGTAACTAGTTCCTTGGCCCTTTTTACTTTTGATTAAATTAAGGGTAAGTCGTCAACTCGTCGGCTGGACTGGAGGGCAAGTGAAATAGGCAGAACCGTACACACCTTATAAATATAAGTTATGGCAGGCACTTCCTCCATTTCTTATCCACATACCAAAATAAAAATGCATGATTCGATGATGAAACGGTCACATACCAGAAAAAGTACCAGCTAGCCGGCATTATCCGCCAACGGCCAAAGCCTTTGGTCCATGTAGACCGGATGGAACGAGTTGCTCTAGCTCGCTGGATACTGTATCCTGATACGAAGTGTGATCCGATCTTTATCAGATGATCTGGTCTGATGATCGACATAATGGGCCATGGCGTGACTACACGGAGAACCCCGCCCGCGGTGGATCTACTCAGTCTCTACTCGTTGACATAATAATAATATTAGGCCACCCAGAATTAATTCGTTGTTTCGGGTCACCCGATCCTAGCCCTTGGCGGATTATGCCGGCATAATATTTGGCATAATCTTGGGATTTCGTCAAAAAATTATGCTCCGGCATTATATACGGATTCCAACGTGTAAGGTCGGCATAATCTTTCGGTTTAGACGAAAATTATGCTTAGGGCATGGCCGTGTGTGTATGCGTGGTTTCTCAATCCTCTACTTCTGAAGTATGTACAGCGTGAATACATGTACATAGTGGAACCGAGCATAATTCAGCATAATTCAGCATATTTGTTGGCATAATCAAAAGCATAATTTGACGATTGGCCGACCGCCAATGGCTACCCGATCCCCCCCCCCCCCCCGCCCGACCGTCTTTTTTCACCCGACCGCAAAATGTTTTTTTTTATTGTGCATGCAAATGTACATGCTCAGAAAGCGGTACGAGTACCGTGTGCACACGGCTGTTACGCAGTGGACATCTAACAAGATGGCGGCGAAAAGTTTGAAATCGCTGCGGATTTACTGAAATCCTTTCGACTTAGTACAAAATGTATAGAATTATATAATTTCGCCGGATTTAGTACTTTCTTTCGGTAAAGTCGGTCTAAACCCAAATATTTTTTGAAACGACAAGGAAGTAAGAACAGAAGTCTTGCTGTCGAAAACATCAAGAAGAAGAATTATTATTGGAGGAAGTAGAAGTGAACAGTTAGACCTTACCTCTCTGGCTTTGCGTGTAGTCAGTGTTATGGCGGACTGGCTGGTTGATCTGCCTGCGATGGAGCAGTCCGCTGCCTCGATCGAACTTTGGGCCGTTGATCTGCAACGTCTGGCAGGGTGCATACGAGGTGTTGTTCTGCAACAGCATGCAGGCGCTCAAGCTCGCCGGGAATGGAACCGTATCTCTTCTCGAGCAGGTTGAACTCGGCGTGAATTCCTTCCGCGCCCTGTTCCGACAGTAGACCAAGCCCGACGTGCACTCTCCGCATCAGCGGCACAGTGTGTTCCTCAAGGAGGTGCAGCTTTGGAGTGATGTGACCTAAGCCTCTCTCCACCACCTCGCTCCGACATTTCTGCAAGAACGAGGCAATGGAGAGCTCCAATTGCTGCAGTTCCTCCTCTCCACATTTGTTGCAATGGCTGAAGGAAGATCTGCACGCTGCGTACTGGCTGAACAGGGACTTGTACCGCTCACTGACTACTTGAGCGTCATTCCGCAGAGCTGGGCACCGATCTCCAATGACAATTGCTGGGGCCTCAGTGATAGCTGTGATCACGGCGGGCTTGAGGGCACGGTGGATATGGTTCCCTACGAAAGCACCGCCGTGATAGGCCTGCCGATGGATAATGTTCTTCTGCAGTACTGGCTCTATGGACGCTTCGCACGGGCCGAGAACATCCTTGCTGCGGCGCAACTTGGCCAGTTCGTCTTCAGCAATCTTCAGCTGCGAGCTACACTGCTCTGTGTCGGCCTGTGCTTGCTCAACCTCCCGTTGTAGCACGCCTGCGAGTGCTTCTATCGCCATGCCCTGTTGCTGGCCAAACAAGACGATGAAGTGCAGATGATTCTCCAGAGCGGTGGCTTTCGCTGTTGCTTCCGAGAACGCTGTTTTGCAGCCAGACAACTTGTGATTTGCAGTTGACAAGGCTCTAAACCGTCCACTGTCTTGCTCTTCAGCGTCGCATTGTTCTGCAAGCTGCATGTCCAGAAGACGGACCTCGCGTGTGAATACATCAAAGATCCACGGGAATACACCGAGGTCTAGGTGCAGCGCTGGAATAATGGCGCTCGCAACGGGCACTGGCAATAGGACTGGTCGGATGGTGTTGTTATACAGCTTTGCCTTTGACAGCAGAGCACCTGCGCTAGTAAACTGTGCATAGTCCTCCGCCATCTTCTCTAAGGACCGTGCTCCATACTGTACGTCGCGGTTCGCTGGTGGGACCTGCATGTCTTTCTTCGTGCACAAGCAATGGAGGCAAGGCCTTACGCCACTGGAACCCGACAAGCCGTAGTTCATGGTTTGGTACTCGTAATCACCAAACAGATAAGGCACAATGGTCTTGCCTTTCCATTTCTGGCCCTGTAGCTCTGCAATTTGGTTCCGATACATTGAGAGTGCAGTTTCCAGGTTTGCCGGCAAGTCCTTCTCTGCAAACACGCAGATTGGCACAGTGTTGGCGAGTGAGTTTGGATGCATGGTGTTGGCGATTTGCATCACGAATTTAAATGTTGTCTTACCATGGTCACCGCCCAGCTTGACCCATATCTCCGTTTCTGGGATGGCGCCATCATGCCATGTCAGCTTACTGCCGCTGTCAAGTATGTCGAGGTAGTGGATAATGATGTCGGTTAGGTTTGGAAAGTAGACAGCTGCAGCAAGTGACAACTCGCCAGTCCGCTTGACAAAGGGGAGCTGCTTCACTGTGTATTTCGGCAAGGTGGTGGCTATGAATGAGCGAATGCTTCTCTCCGATTCAAGCTGAACTCCGAAGGAGCGGAGCCATCTGCGCAGCTTCCGGAGTTGCGCCCAAGGAAGGCTTAGATCGGCCTTGATGGCAAGGGCAGTGCCTGAAGGTGGTTTGATGCTGGTAGCGCCAAGTCCAGCAACGCCATGCCGTGTTGCATCTGCTGTGGTGCAAACTGTCTCTGTGATGCGCTCCATTTCCAGTGACCGTCGTTTCAGCGTCCTGGCTGATGCCTCCTCCGGCTGCTTGCTGCCAACTGTTGTTCGCATGAAAACTTGCGGTCTTCCTTGGCTG